ATGTTCTGTTATTTTTAACAGAAATATTGCCAATGACTGATGTCTTTCCTGACAATTTCAGAGTCAGTCTCAGGCACTCAGACTCTCTTGAATCAGGTCATTACATAACGTTTCAGACAAATGAACACAGAATTTGCTGCATTATGTGATTTCTATAGTTAAACTTCAACACAAATAAAATTTCAGTTTCACAGTTTCCGTTTCTGAGGATTCTTGAAGTTAGATTTGCCAGTTTTATATGGCAAAAAAATTGTTATAAGCTGTGATGTTATATAGGTAAAGGATTGCACAAAGAAACAACATAAACCCTAAGAGGAGAAATAAACTTGTCCTGCATGTAGATTATCTTAGTAAAGTCACCAGATAAAACCTTGATAAAGTCATGGGGAATGGAACTGTTAAAATACAACTTAATAAGTTTGAAATATAAAGGATGTAAAACAAGTGCTGTTGTTTTTATTAAGTCAGTGCTTCAGACTTTATTTTGATTTCTCTGTTAGAACTAAGACTTCCTCTACTTCTAATTTAAAATATTATTATAGTAGAAATTTCACTGAATCAGAGGAGCATGAAATAGCCATTTCCAAGCCATGTGGTGACAATAATAATAAAAGATGTGTTATTTTCTGGGAGTCTACTTTCTCTTCAGGTACTTAATTTTAGTTAAAATGCAAGACAGCTTATGAGTTTTTAAAGAGAACCTTGAAGAGATTTTGGATGATTTAATTAAATAAAGCAAAACTAGATTAAACTGGATTTCTTTGGGTTAAACAAATGATGAACTTCATTTTGTGCAGCCAATAATTCTCTTTCTTAAAGCCCCCTGCTCTTTAAGACCACTTGTATGTGTGTCTGTCAAGGAAAGACAGTGGAGAAGTGTTTTAAGCATGTTTATGAAGTGTTTCAGTGTTTATGGGAGTTGAATAGCTGTATTATGTTCTGTTAGTTATGGCACAAGACCAAAAATTTCATTCATAAGCTCCAGTTACTCCTAGTATTACTTGCTGCACACAGTAACAATGTTAGCAATGCTTAGTGCTGTGCATTACAAATTTCCAGTGATACACACACATCTCAGATATGTAGGGGTTTTCCAGGAAGGCAGAAATGTGTTGATCACAATAAGAACTAGTCTGGGTCTGTAGCCTCCAATAGTTCAGGTTTGGAGACAGGAAATGGCTTGATAATGGGATTTTTTAAATTTGACTTTGATTACCTCATCTGCCTCTTCATTTTTGTATGAAACTCTGCAGCCTTTTTTAATCCCGAGTAAGTTTCTGTGGGTACGTTACTCAAACATGAGCACCAGCAAGGTGTGTATTTCAAGCATTTAATGTTCCAATAGAATCTTGAGAACGGAGGAGAAAAGCAGAAGAGCTTTTGAGGTGCTTATAATTCTTGTAAACCTTTCAATGTGCATTTCTAAACTCATCTGGACTTTCCAATATTTTTGGAAATTTATTCATTATCACTAGTAAGTTCCACTAGTTATTTTTACATTGAGTCATCTTTTCCTTCTATCTGTCTAGATGTTCCTTTCTCTGTGTGTGTGCTGTGCTCATCTACAGCAGACTGCTGGATCCAAGAACTGTGGGCAGTAATTGAGACTTCAGCAGAGACATAAAAGAGCTGTACTTCTAGGAAATTATGTACACAATTTGCATATGTGTTTCTTACAGATACATGCTGTGCTGTGGCAGTGGTGTCCACAGATGACCAATTGAATGTATTTGAAATTAAAAACTAAATCTTTCTGTGCAGCCTTACTCTGAAAAGAGTTTCAGTAAACTAGACTAGAAGAAATTTTCTCAATATTTTTTAATCTTGCACCTCAGTGTGCTAAATTTTCAAACCAAGCCATTGCTTCTCAAGTGACAGTCCTAATGATATACTTGCATTGCAAAATTCAAGGTAGGTCTTTTTAAACTGTGCATCACAATAAATACAGGTGATGAAGCTTTTACAAATTCAGTTAGTTTCTTAGAGAGAGACTCTCTAACTTTACACTCTTGTATGATTTTGCATAAAATAATGGATTGGAACTTAGCAATCAGTCTTACTATCTACCTGGTACATGCAAAAAGACTCAGTCTCCCTTAATTCTGTTGACTGTGTGATTCATTGGGGAAAAAAAAAACAACCAACAAACCAGATTAAAAAAGCCTGAGTAATTAAAATTCAGTTTTGTCACTAGTTTAGAAAGAACTGACTCTCCATTCATATAAATGAGGAAAAGTTCTGAACATCGAATGCTAATCAGTATGAAGGCCAGCTGTATGAAGGACCGTTGCCCATGCAAACGTGACAGCTTGTGCACTCTGTGGATCAGAGTGGATCCACTTCAGTCACTTTCTACATTTAGTTCAAGGATATTGGGCATCGCTAACAGCGATGGATTTAAACTTGAAAGGGACATCCTCTGTGTACATGTTTCACCACTGAGAAGTTTGCAGACATCAAAGTATGAAAATGGGCAGATGAAACTATTTTATCTCGACAGTGTTTTCATCCACAAGTGAAATCTGGATTTTCTTAGTGAGAATTCATTAATTTGTTTGAATGGGTATACTTAGGGTGATTTTTATTTACGGGGAAAACACTTAGCATAAAATGAAATTTCATTGAAAAGTTTGCAATGACAAAAGAATGCAATGTATTCAGTGTGGTGGGCAGTACAAGCAGTAGATAAAATTCCCTTTCCCTCTCTCTTTCTCAACAACAAACTTCATCATAGTCACAAGAACCCTAATAGGCAGTGGGTATCCCCTTGTTTGGAGATTTCCAAACCAGTTGGGTCTCTCTTGTGTTTAGTAAATTAATTTTTTAAATGAATTCTCATCAAGTTTCTGATTATAATTTCTTTAAATTTAATGTTTGTATTTCTGATGAAAGACAAACATTTTGGGGGCAGTCACAAGGGACATGAATAATTTCTTTAGAAGCTTATCTAATTAATTACATTTCTCTGTAATGTCTTTAAAATTTGAACTGCCATAATTTCATTAATTTAGATAAAAGTAAATCTTTAGTGTTTACATATGACACTAGTGCTGAGAATTCTGATAACCTCAAGATTCATTGTCTGTATTTTTATCAAGTTAAAAAAATGTTTTTAAATTGTTTGGGATTCATGATTTGCATATTAACTTTTATTTGATTTCAAATACATTATTATTTCATGGCGTAAGTGTTCATCTCACCTGTTAATAAGTAAGATCATATGATGCAAAATGGACATGAATATTACTCTTACAGTATTTTGGTGGGGATTTCTTTTTCTTCTGTAACATGTTTCTTTCTGAACAAAACTTTTTGACTCCTTCAAATGGGAAGCATTTGAGTCTGATGTCTTGTAATCTTCCATATCCTATACAGGTGGAATTTTAATATTTCAGACTATCCAGAAAGCATAAAGCCTTTGTTTATAGCACTAATACATTTGGGTTTGTGTCTTTCAAAATAGTTATTTTAATGCTATTTCAAAGTAATGTTAGTAGAGCAATTGAAATTTACACATTTATGTTCATAGGTGGAGCCTCAAAATTATGGCTGTCTTTAGCATACAAGGAAAAAAAAAGAATGCAAGAGGTAGGGTTTGATTAGGTCGCAACACAATTAAATTTGATGGAAGCCACAAAAAATACAGTGTATATAGTGATTCTTCCTTTAATCATCTCTACCACTTGTAGGGCTGCCACCAGTTGCTAACTGCCCACTGGTGGAGCCTGACGTCCTTCTACTTTGTAGACATTTGTTATGAGAGGTACACTGAATACCAGGCAATAGGAGCTTCTGTCCTGCCTTCCCCTAAGCCCATTCTGTGTTGCCAGAGAACAGAACCCACGTGGACCGATGGCAGCTTTGGACAGCTGCTAAGCTCTCACAACAACTGTGAGTAAGTTGATACCCTGACGGTAGCAGCTTTCTTGCCTGCAGTAATAATGTAGGCAAAAGCATGTAGTTTAATTACAAGTCAGACCCAGAGTTTAATGCACACAGTGTGCAGTTCTTCAAACTGTTGATGATACAAGCAAGATAAAATACTATGGTTGTAAAATAATACTCACTAAGAGATGGATTTTGAAACTAGGATTGAGTTACTTGTAGAAGTATGCATGTGCTATAGAACAGTGTTTTAAACTCTTCAGATCAGCTGGTCACCTCAGTTTAAAGTGAATTCATGGTTTTTCTCTTTGGGAAAAAAATCTAAAATATCTATAAATAGTCTCTTAAAAAAAATTAACTCTACTGAGTTGAAGGAAGGACACTAGAAACCGACTGTGAAATTGATTCAAAGTAGAATGCAAACTGTTGGTTTAGTTTTTCTTTCCTTACAGCTTAACAAGGTTATTCTACTTCTTTACAGTGATAAACACGTTTATGCAAAATAGCTTTATATTATAAATAATGAGGCTTTATTTTGGTGAAGAAAGAAGTTCACAGGTCATATTTTTGGTCAGTGGCAGATGAATCAAAGTACTTTAATAGTCCAAAGTACTATCTAGTTTTGCCTATGTCAATCTACCATCTATCTTTCTCACAATGTGGGTCTCCACATTAATCGTATTTGTAATGAAGAAATAATAGATGTGCAGTCAGAACAACTAATAGAGTAAAATGCTCTGTGCTCTGCTAAAGATAAACAAAGAAATAAATCTATGTTGTTTACAGCCTTCCCTTTTCCATGTATAATGGACTTTATCAATAAAACAATACAAACTTCATCAAAGAAAAATCTTACCAATTTAGTCCAAGAAAGGTCTTCATTGAGCTAATCGCCAACAAATGCTGTTTGCAATAGGGATCTATTTATTCTTTTCAACCATAAAATACTGGCCATCCTTCTTTATCTCATGCTCCAACTCTGCGATCCATTACAGATAAGACAACCCAATTAAGCAAGAACAGAAGACAGGAAGAGTATGGTTACTATGTAAGCATTTATGTATCAGTCCCAAATTAAATATGCTCACCTTCTATGCTTTGATTTCTTTTCTTAGGGAACCACAGTCAAGTGTCCCGGGTGCCTGTTGCTATCAAAGTTCTTGATGTAAATGACAACGCTCCTGAGTTTGCGTCAGAGCATGAAGCCTTTTTATGTGAGAATGGGAAGCCTGGACAAGTAAGTACCTCCATGTTTTTATGTTGTGTACTTTAGTGTGTGAGAATGGGGTGCGGTTTCTCCCTGTCATCTCATCTTTATTCACAAAATATGTGCCTATGTATTCACGCTAAGAACTCTTAACATTCATTTAAGCTAAACCTATGATCGTATTCTGTGGTACATCTCTCTATATGTGGAAATACATACTATTTGAAGTGTCGGTTTTAAATTAAAGGTAGGTATCTTGAGACAATATCCAGAAAAAATGCTGAGTGTCTTTAAGCTCCCACTGTTTCCACTCTGTTTGATGGAGCTGATCACTTCATAGGTTCATGTGTGTTAATAGGTAAAAGTATAATCCAACCTGAATTCCAGTTCACTTATAGAACTATATTGCAGCTGGTCCCAGGTATAATTTAGAAGAAACACTTAAAACAATAAAACTATTCCCCCTTACCCATATCTCAGTTATAATCTCTATCTGTTTAGTTCTTACTCCCCTTTCTATAACTATTGGGAAAAAACAAGAAAGCAAACCAGAACTTGATGGAAAGTCAAGTAAACTGTAACTGCATGTAAACTACCTAAAGAGGGATAGGATGTTGGAGAAGCGGCCTTTAAGTTTTCATTATACTCCACAAAAAAACACAAAAAAAGAGACTTAACAGGTTATTTGTCCCTTGATTTAATGAAATAAGAGGGTTGGCAAAGGAATTTACACAACACTCTGCAAGGTGAAATAATCATAGCAAGATATCAGAAGCAAGATTTAACCTGTATAGCCTTTTTCAAAGAAAATGTAACCAATTTCTTAAAAGGTATCCATTTTGAAGGACAAATGTACAGAAATAGGGAAGAATATCTCATATGCCACATAAATGACAAATAAAGACTCAAGAAAATTTACAGATTTTTAGAAAGTAATGCAGTGTAAATGAGATTTAACTTTTGTCCAGCTTGAGAAACACTGTATGTTACAACAATTCACTGTTTTTAAACTTTCTAATTTATTTCTAGATTGTGACATTTTATGTAAATAAACAGCAGCTGACAGCATGACACTAGTCTTGTTAATCCAACTATTCCTGTGTCTCATGTGGGTGTTAGGCATTAAATTCACTGTTCTCCAAAGAAGGTTACCTGACAATAGAGTTAGAAATTATTTTCTTTTAGTAGTATTAAGTGACAACCTATATAGTAGTATATGACAACCTACCTCTGCCAAGACTGGATTGTTACAGAAGATGATTTGACTTCTAGCACCCCTTTTTGTTTATTGAAAAGGTGTCAAAAATATGTCATTTAAGAAATGAGAATTCTCTCTAACCACTGAAAAGCAGACTATTGAAATGTGCCCTTATGGGCAGACAGTTATGTTACTGTTGGTATTTAAGTTGTTGTAGCTGAGAGTGGATTTCTGTTTAGCTCAGGGTGGATTTCAGATGCTGAGTAGTTACATTTTCTAGGATATATTCAATTCAAATCAGTATACCTTTATCCAGGGCTCAGTAAGCTTCCCTGAAATTAGAAAGCTGTGTTGCACAGTGTCTTCTGAATATATTTATCTAGCTATTCCTATCAAATTCCAGGTGGTTTAAGAGATGGTGAAAAATGTTCGCATTTCATTTTGGAATAAAGCAATAAATAAGATGATTAAGGGTCACCTGGTAAAAGAGGCTTTCGTTTAAGCACTTATGGAAGACTTTCACTAAACCATGACATTCTTCATCTTAGCATCACCTTTTACACTCTTGATCTGATGGCAGATGTCACTCTTCCGCATGAATCCTTGTGTGAACTTTACAGATGGTTATTAAATATTTGGCTGCCAGCATGGATGAGGTGGCACTGATCCTGCAATTTATTCTGTGTTTTAAACAAATAACATTATTGGAACAGTAACCAGTCCAGAATAATCACCAAGGTTAGGTTTGAAATTTAAGTCGTCATTCAAAAATTATCCTCTCCTGTAAAGATTTTGGTATCTACACTACCTGCTTGGTTTTTCTTATGCTTATTATTCCGTATTCAACTTTTGTAAGAAATCATATTAATCAGTTAAGATGTAGAATTCAAAAAAATAAATATGTCTTAGCTATGAAATAGCTAATATGAGAAAGACACTACTCTTCTACATAGTAGCAAAAGCCTAATTGGGATAGTTCTCCAAACTTTGAACTTGAATGTTACATGTGGAGGAAAGGCACAATTGGTTTATGTTATTGCAATCTATTTACATTTGCAATTCAACCTAAATGTAAGTTTAAATCAAATTTGAGTTACCATAAGGGAGATTACATTGGGACCTTTTACGAAACCTTATTTGCAGCCCCTGAATATATTGAACCATCTATTCCAGTTCAGTTTCTAAGTGTTCTATTTTGGGTTCTGATATAATTGCAAGTGGCAAGTGCAGCTGCCGGTGATATGACAGAATGTGTTAAAAACTGTTGATGTATAACATTGCCAGATGCATTTTCTTTGCTCTAACCTACCTCTAACAGTAGAGGTACTACAGCTAGTAGGAGAGGAAAGGGAGAGGAGGAGAAAATGTATTTGACCATGCACATATTAATATGCTCCTTGCACATTTTTACACACAACAGAAAGATGCCAGAAATGTTTTTTGTCAGTTTATGGGGGGCGGGGGAGGGAATTGAACGTACTCTTACAGTACCTCTAAGCTAACCATAAACCAGCTCATGGCCTTCTCTATTTTTCCTTTTTTTGCATAATTCCACTTACTAAAGCCACAACATTCATGGTTTTGCTGGCTATATCTGTACAGTTGATTGTTCTCCAGCCCAGCTAAACTATTTTCCTATACTCCTAGAACAGAACAGCTGTATTGTTGAGTAAGAAAAGTGCCTCACTCACTGTTCCCCTATCCATACCCAGACTTCTCCAGTGAAGTGCTGTTTGCTCAAAACAAAGCTACAAAATTTTCACTTAAGTAGTGCAGACAATGATGTATCAGTGCTCAAGCCAGTGTTCAAACTAGAGCAATATAAAACAATATATACAATGTTCCTCCAGTCTCTTACAATTTGTCTCTATTTTATTCAGTTCTCCTAATAGAATTGGCTTTTTCTAATGGAAGAAGTCTTCAGATAGATCTTTGTCCCGCTGAAGAGTCAAAGCTCATTCAAATGGCAAAATGCAGGTTGTAGCAGTAAAGGACTGCCTCTATCTGAAAAGACAAAGTTAAAATTGTACTGTGATGAGTCTACTGCTTATAGTATTATGAGTCTGCAAAGTAATTCAGAAATAACCATAACACCAATGTAACTGCAAAAGTTTTTTCAGAGTTGGAAGAACAGTTTTAACAAACGTAGGGAAAAGTTTACTAATGATAAGGACCCATTCTAAGTTAGGTTAACAAGTTGCATTGCAGGGAAAGACTTCTAAACAGTATCATATATTAAAATTGCACATAGACAGTTATGATACATTGATAAGAACTCTGTTTTGCTGTTTATCATTCTACATGATTCATTATGGTTATACCGGTAATCTTTTATAAATATTACTCTGGGTATATGTGGCTTTGTAGAAATGCAATACAAACCTGCAGACTATAATGCCGAGTTGTCCTAGGAGATCATTTAACTATTAATTTCAATCCAGAGGTGCCTGTTAAGCAAAATATGCTGATTTACTATGTTTCTACTAAATGTATGTACAGAATCAAATATATGCATGAATTTTTAATACAACATCAAAGTTGAAATTTTACATGGAAGAATTTCAGAAATTTCAAGATGGAACAGCGAAAGGATTATTTACTTTCACTGTAGTGCTTATGAATACATAGTGAAAAAATCAGTTCTTGTTTGTTTATTGTTAGTATTGACCAGTTTTGTTATATGGAACACCTTTGTTATGCATGGTATTACTAGGAAAGAAAAAACATCTGTAGTGATAAGTAAGGCAGGTCGGCCCTGGAAGATTCTTTACCATGTTATGAACCACAAATTAAGAGTTGGAGAATTACTTCAATAGTGTTCCATTACATGATCACACAACACTGAGCAATAAAGTATGCTCATCAACATACTAATAAAAATGTGGTAATGAGAATTACTGGACTTTTCTCACCCCTATGGAGTAAAAGATACAGCAGCATTGTATCACTGTACATATGTTATCCTTTTTTTTTTTTTAAGAGCTTATTTTAATGCAAACGCACAAAGAAATAAGGTTGCTATGGGAACACTAACTCTTAATTCCTTGATGTGTGCATGTAACACAACAAATGTAGTGTTCCACTAAGCCTGTGTTTTGCATATAATTTTCAGTGCATTTTCAGAGAAAGAATTATTTGGTAAACAATGAAGGGAATGGATGGAAAGAAATGAATATAAGAAAGAATTCTATAGGACATTAAGAGGTATCTACAGTTCCGGGGGGGGAAGTACAAAGAATATGCCCAGTTTCTATTTCTTGAAAATTTCCAATCTAGATGATATTCTAAGCTTATTTCATAAAATTTCTGTGAGCTGAAAACCCATATTACTAATGTTCCTGGCTACTGGCTTTCAGGTATATTAATTGAAAACCTGCAGACGGTGAAGTGAATTTTTACAGTCAACTCTCTTACATAATGCTGGAAAGAATTAACAGTTATGTAGCCAGTAGAGATAAAATTGCATAGCCATCTGATAAACTGCACCTATTATGTGCAGTTGACCTTCCAGACGTCACTGTGCCATTATCGTTTTTCCCTATTGCTTTCCCATTCTAGCAGTGTTTGAAAAATGGAACAATCATAAAATATATCTGTCTAGAGATACTTGTTCGGGATTCCATTCTAATTTGCACTTACCTGTGATGCAGAATTACTAGTACCTACTCCAGCCCTGGGCCCAGCACACGTGGATAGTTTAGTACCTTAGACCTGTGCAAAGAGAAAGCTGAAAATGTTCCACATCTATAAATGTGTCCATCTCTGCAGTGGGACAGACAACATCTGCTTGTATATTTTTTAGCTGTTTATATTTTTTCACACTGCATAGCTCTCTAGGATCCATTATGCAGCTATTAAATTGGAGACCTACTTCTTTAAGTAAAAGTTATGTTAGGCCTTTTTTTGTCCATCTCTTCTAATACATGTATTTGAAGTCATATCAATCAAGGTTTTTACCTTGGCAGATGCAGTTATCAAAAAAAAGAAACTATTTATGTGGTATTTAAACAATCTAAAACTTTTTCCAGTAGGCAAGGAATTCATTGTCTCAAATTCCTTCCTACGTTGTCTAACAAATTCTGTAAGCCTATATCAATACCTGATCAAACATCTTTTTACATACGTAATTTCAAATATTTATGTTTTGATGTTGCTCCTTGTGGTTATCTAGTAAGGTTTTATTCTTTCTTTGACTCTTGAAGAACATAGAATAAAGAATGGGATATTGACTATTATCGTATATGTAACATATAGAGATTGATAGTCCTTTCTTTTGTGATAAAACCAGTATAAAATATTAGTTATTAGAATTTTGTTAGTGAAGCTTTGAAAATTTAAAGTATAATTCTATGAATTTGGATAGCATCAGACCCTGTTTCCATTTTTTTACTCTACTCTTTAAAAATGAAACTTGTAGTGATTGCTAATTTGAATTTAATTGTCCAAGAAATTATTGGTCAGTTGCTTTAGGCATTACAAAAATAACTACATAAGACAAAAATGTTATTGAATTTAATGGACATGGGAAAGGTCAATAATTCTCATTAAATTTCTTATAAACCTCATCTAGCATGAGCTAACTACCACAGAAATTCAACTCTGAGTGCAGGATCTGGATCCATAGTTGTCTTTGTTTCTACTTCTCTGGAAAATACTTGGAATCAAAAGTAATTGCACCAAATATTAAAAAAAAAAACATTCAAACCTCGTGATTATTTTGAAATAATGTTTCCTCCTTTCATATTCCTGTGCAGCACTGTATGATTTGAAGATGATCAGCTGCAGTATCTTTCTGAGTAATGTTGGAGGTAAAAGAACTAAATGGAGGTAAATACCCTGCAGATACTGTAGTTGGTCATATAAATCATATGAGGTGCTTCATACAAAGTTATTCAATTATTCAAAGTTATTCAGACTATCCAAACACTCTCTCCTTTTCTAACCTTAGAATCCTGTATTATTCTGGGAATCATTTGTTAATAATGATATTTTAAAACAAACTTATGTTCCTAGTACAGGAATAACTGAGGTTTTATTAAAAGTAGGAAAAAATCCAAATACAGACTTGGATATTTTCTTTTTTTTTTTTAGATTAGATTATTTATTGTATAAAACTTCACACCAAAAGTTAATTTAAAAAAAATATATTTAGTCAATGAAGTGAAAAATGGTGGTGAGGGAAAGGAGAAAGGATTAAAGATAGATTATACATTTTGGTACAGTGAGAAGCGTGGCTATATGAATGAAAGACTACCATAGGCATCATGAGTGTTTCTGAAACACAGTTTTCCTTCCTCTTTATTGCTGAGTAATAATTTATTACTTGCCTAAATCAGAAGCAGTTTTCACTGGCCTCTCTTATGTACCTGTCTCTCCGTGTTCTGGAAACAGTTTAAATGGGCCAGATACAGTCCCTGTTCCCCAGACTTTCAGTCTAAGATCTGTAAAAGCCTTGCAAGATTATAAATTAGCATTTTTAATCTGGCATGTAGACAAATGAGAATGTGTCCAGTAGAATGGAATGGTTTTTTCAATACTGTATGTTTATCAGGAGTGTGAATACTTAATGAAAGCATTTTCTGTTGTAGGTAATTCAGATTGTCAGTGCCGTTGACAAAGATGATCCTAAAAATGGGCATTATTTCCTGTACAGTCTTCTTCCTGAAATGGTCAACAATCCAAATTTCACCATCAAGAAAAATGAAGGTAAATATAAAACATATAATGTGTATCTGAACAACTTAGTTTTGAATTGCTTTGTTGACTTCCAGTTACTTTACCAGTTTGTCCCTTGGGCAATTACAATATAGATAATCTGTTTAATGGTACCTTCGTTCTATCTCTTAAGCTATTTCCAGTATCTTTACAGTAGATAAGAAGAAAGTAAAATGAATACTGAATTTAGATCCAGAAGACAGCTCACTGGCTTAAATAAAATGAAAGGATGGATTTACTGCCTGTTTCATTTCTATTAATTTGAAATTCCAGAGGTATGCTGTAAGATGAAAATTTGAAACTATGTTGATGAATAAATGTTGATCCTATGTTGACTGGATATAGATGGGAGCATGAAATTAAGTATCCACTAAATCCCCCACAGGAAACACCTTTTAAACCTGTTTGTTGTGTGTATAAAGGTTCCAAAGTATTTCAGTTAGGATCTTTTACTAGAAAGAGAAATCTGCTAGGTCAGCAAAGCTCAGAAGGGCACTTTGTATCACTAAGCTTTAGAGTACTTCTGGAAGGGCATAATGTCATTTTGTAGTACTATAGAAGTGGAATTTCATGCGTGATGGAAAAAGAGACCCATTTAATATTGTTGAGCAATAAATTTACACTGATCCTTTTCTTTGGCACACAGATATATTTCAAGGTCATGTGAGAAAGAGCTGGGAATGATCACAAGAATGCTATAAGTAGTGCTTTATGTATTTGTACTTACTTGAATATTCAGCAAAGTTTTTCCATCTTGGCCTTTTTTTTGTAATAAAACACTACCCTGTCAGGAATTTTAGTCAAATTCAGTCTCTTATTTCTCTTATTTGAAATGGTAATGAAGGAAATCCCTGTTTAGTCCATTAATAATAGGAAGATGTATGTGTGAGGTGTATGTGCATGAGTGTAAAAGTAATACATGAAATGCTCAAAGAAAGAGAAAATGCTGTTTTCATTTTTTATTCTAGCTGTTCCAACCAAGAAGAATGATGGCACCATTTTGTTAAACGATACTATAAGAACCTAAATTCTTAAATCTGCTTAAATATATCCTGAATTTTTCCTTACATTACATATGTTTTTCTTTTGTAGCATTCACAAAATGTGTCTCTGCTTATATTTGTACTTTCATGTAGGAAATAAGTCTCTTTATGTTTTCTGCACTTAGAGGAGAAGATAAAACAAATCTCTTCAAAATGCATTTCATAATCACCAGTAATGTAACACAAATTGAATTAACCATCCTAAATGTGAGGTGGTTTGCTTTGCACAGCATGACAAGGTAAAAAAGGTCTAAGCATTCCTCTTCATGTTTAAATACTTAGCTCACATCACTAATTAGCCTTGTCCTTCCAATCTGTTACCCATTTAAGACCCATTCTTACTCCTAGTCACAGCCAATGGCAAAATGACTCCTGATCTGAGTGGGAGTGAGGAACCTTTCTAGGTAACATGGTTTAGAAAAGTAAGTCCAATTTTGTTACAACATTGCCACTCAGTTTTACAGTTTTTAATGCATTTGAATCAGTTAAATGTGTAAATCCTCTTAAAACAACCAACTGAAATCTCTTAACATTAAAAATCCACTTGAAGAAACTTTTCTGATTGAGTCTTTCAGTATCCAAGAATAAAATTCCAATTATGCATACCATCTTTTTCTATCAAGATTGCTTAGCCAGGGATGCAGTCCATGGTTGATGCTAGAACATGATTTCCCACAGGAAGCAGGTATTCATGTCAAAGCCAAAATCAGGGTCTGATTTGGTTAAGGTGAGGTTTCCTGTCATTTAAACATCATAAATCTTTAGTAAGTCTTTATTTAGTTATGCCACTTAAGCAATGAACTTGACCATGACTTTGTCTTGCATAGATCTGCTAGATAAGCATGAGTGATTATTCTTGTTGAAGAAACTCCACTATTCCTAAAAAAACCTGAACTCACAAGTCAAATTTCTCCTTAGTTGCACTAATGAGTGTCTGGGCTGTCCAAAAGCCAGTTTGGTGTGGTTTGTAAGTGTCGTGGTTTAATCCCAGCTGGCAACTAAGCACCACATTGCCGCTCGCTCATCCTCCCCATCCCGGTGAGATGGGGGAGAGAATCGCAAGGGTAAAAGTGAGAAAACTCACGGGTTGAGAAAAGAACAGTTTAATAATGGAAATAATAATAATAATAATAATAATAATAATAATGAAAAGGAAAACAACACAAAAAGAACAAAACACAGGAAAAACAAGTGATGTAACTGCTCCCCACCTGCTGACTGACACCCAGCCCATCTCTGAGCAGTGATTGCTGCCCCCCGGCCAACTCCCCCAGTTTCTATACTGGGCATGACCTCATATGGTATGGACTAGCCCTTTGGCCAGTCTGGGTCAGCTGTCCCGGCTGTGCTGTGCCCCCTCCCAGCTTCTTGTGGGCAGAGCATGGGAAGCTGAAAAGTCCTTGACTGGTGTAAGCACTGCTTAGCAACAACTAAAACATCAGTGTGTTATCAACATTGTTCTCATACTAAATCCAAATCACAGCACTGTACCAGCTACTAGGAAGAAAATGAACTCTATCTCAGCCAAAACCAGGACAATTAGAAGCAGTGTGAGAGAATGCCTGTAACAAACACTACTCTCATTTCTGGAGAATTGTGTTTCTGAGGATCAGATCAGTGCACAACCCACTTAGGCCTGGAACGGAAAAACATTTCCTCATACTGGTGGGCAAAATCCTTGATATCTTCCTGGCTGTGACCTCAGCCTCATCTTCCTCCCATATTCTTGGCCCTGCCAAATTCTTCAAGGCAGCAGAGACTGCCTTGATGGCTGCTGAAGAAATGCCATCCTATTATGGATATTATAAATGGATTGCATTTTCTCAGGAAACCTAACATAGAAACTCAATCTTTTATTTGCTAGAATTAGTAATTTTTTTTCTCTATTTAAATGATTTTTCATATCTTGCCTTTCTGTAAAATTCTGTCAAGTGCAGAGATAAACAAAAGTAGCCCTCCTCAAGAGCATTTGTGAAATTACATTACCCTTTGGGATTCCTTTTTGGTGCTTTAGGTAGCATTGTGGCATTTGGCAATTACTTCCCTGCTTCACAAAGTAATGGTGTTATCTTATCTGGTGGCACTAGTATGCAAACAATCCAGTTTGTCATCTCCCATACGAAGAAAGCTGTGATGTTCTGTTTCTGTCCTTCATACTAAAGAATATATGATGCATGTATTTTGGAATTTTCTCTTGCTATATGGAACATAAGGATAACCATTAATTAATTTAGTTTGTTGCTTACAGGCTAATTCTATTGTTTAAACTTTCCAGATTGCCCTAAGGCAAGTTCACATGATACTTCAGTAATTAACTGTGCTGCCCAAATATAGTACAAATATTATGATCGGCTACATGTTATTGCCAAATATATTTAACTGAGTGACACAACGGTATATCTTCATCAGAAACCACAAAAAAACCCCACTTCTCCTAAGATTATATTACGTATTATAGAAATTATCCTGTGATCACAGCAGAATCTGTTCCTTGAAATGATATACCGGTATCCTTTATTTGTTTGGTCTGTTAAATTTGCCTATCTACAATCTCTTCTGTAGACAAGATGCCCAAAACTGTAGAGGCTGTAGTGCCTTTCTGATGTAAGTAATGTAAAAATGTAAATTTAAATGTCTTCATACATCTCACTGAATGTCTTCAGATCATCTCTTAGAAATCTTTATTTTTCATATCTCCTGATCTGTTCTTTCTGTTCTTTTCCGAGCTCAAATGTCTGTTACCAAGTAGTTTTTCATAGGCTTTGGGCCTTGGCTAAATGGGCAGCTATTGATAAACTGAAGTACAGCAATCCTACTCTCTTGAACTGTAATGCGAGGAACACTGATTATTTAGGTTGCCAGATGCATAAACCTTTATCCCTTCACAAGAGAAATAATCAAATTATGTCATAAAAGTATAACAAGTTAATGCAACATGAAAATCATGTAATGTTTTCTGTGTTATTCCTGGTGACTCAACCTGTGACTCCATGACATAACAAATCCTTGACTGCATAAACTCATATAGACTGACTGTCTGGTCACTTCGTTCTCACATGGCTTTGTGCTGGGTTTCTGCATAGGAACAGAAATGTGAAAAATGAAAATAAATGTTTTGTGTAGAGTTTCTGATAAACTTCAAACCAGAAAAAAACTAAAACCTCAGATGAAAGTATCTGATGTTTAGGCAGGTGTCGATACACTCTAGCAATGCGTTGTAGATTCCTTAGCTGAATGTAATTAACCCTTCCAAAAAGATGTAGGATCACAATAAATGACAAAAAACTGACAGGAATTTAGACAACTGATAAGGATTTTGTACTGTCATGGCATCAGTAAACTGAAATGAGACCTCTGGAAATGGAATTAGCATTTGTTGACAGTCTTTTTTCAGGTGAGTGGTCTTCACAGAGCGTTACCTAGAATCTAATGCCAGTACATGGATCGTCTCCTGCATCCCAAACAACACGCTCACAGCAATACCAGTTTTCAGCATTGAATTCCTAATTCCTAAACATTAGGAATGGTTTCCTTAGGTGTTCAAGTGAGAACAGAATTTTGTGATAAAAGTGTTTTCACAGATGTAAACATTTTGATATGCTGCCAATGCAATTTTTACTTTTAAAAACTAGCAAATACATCTTTGCCATAAAGAGACTTAAAAGTTTTTCCCAAAAGATGTTTCCATTACTACCCCATTTTTCTTATGCCAAATTCTGCTTCCTAATGGAATAAACCCCAAATCAAATGTTCTACAGTGCATTTGGATGCAGTAACTCTTCTGACAGAAGAAATAGTGCATCTCTACTGTAAAAATGTGATATTACATACCTCTTACTAGTGCTTATGTAGTAGAAGCAATCACAGGGTTGCTTGGAACATGGGCAGGCCTTATCTTTGGGTTAAGAGAACCATCTTAATGGCATGCGTTCGTATTCCTGCAGAAGT